TTTCCGCATAATCTTTTCCACCGATGGCTCTCATATGGCAACGGTAAGCAGATCTTGACTTGTTGAATTTTGATTAAATTTTTCTATTGTTCACTTTAAAACAGTCAAAAAGGATTACTTTGAGAATCGTGAGTTCTCCTTCACTCTCGGCGGTGACATCTACCTGCGCTACAACTCCTTTGAAAATCAGCAGGAGATGCGAAAGACGATTTGCTCACGGCTGCCGGTGAAGATCGATTTGGGCGCCGTTTACAACATGAAGCCAAAGGACTCGAAAAAAGTCAAAATTCTCAACTTTACGGCAGAGGAGCGTGAACTGGTCTTCGACATTGATATGACCGACTACGACGATGTGCGAACGTGCTGCCAAGGCACGGGCATCTGTCCGAAGTGCTGGCCGTTTATGATCGTGGCGGCGCACATTCTGGAGGAGTACCTACGCTGCGACTTTGGCTTCACCAACCTGCTCTGGGTGTATTCGGGTCGTCGTGGCATCCATTGCTGGGTGGCCGACGAGGGCGCCCGCAAGCTGAACAACAACGCCCGCGACGCAGTGGCCAGCTTCATCAACATCTTCGACGGTGGACAGTTCAAGGCGAAGAAGGTGGAGATTGACGGCAAGGTCGGCTGTCACCCGTCCATTCGGCGCTCCATTCAGATCATCGACCGGTACTTTGAGCAGCTGATGGTGAAGAACCAGGACTTTCTCGACTCCAAAGAGCGGATTGACATCGTAATCAACCTCTGCCAGGATGAACTGCTGCGAAATGAGCTGCGCACCTATCTGCATGATCCGAAGATGCGAAGCACCAAGCAGCGCTGGGATGCCCTGGTCAAGATAAGCCAGCACTTCTACTCGACCTCCAATAACCAGATCAGCCACCAGAACCGCAACAAGCACAAATACTTTGTTGAGGAGGTCAAGCTGCAGCTGTGCTACCCACGGCTGGACATCAACGTCACCAAGGGCCTCAACCATCTGCTGAAGGTGCCCTTTTCCGTGCACCCCAAGACGGGTCGCATCTGCGTGCCGATTCACTTTCCCGACCTGGACGCCTTTGACCCCTTCACCGTACCCACCATCGCCGATCTGATCCAGGAGATTGACCACATTCCGAAGGAGGAGGGCGAAACGCTGGGCAGCAGTCGAATCACCGAGAAAACCTCGCTGGCCCCTTCTCTGGCCATCTTTCGCGCTTTTGTGAAGGACATTGAGGCGAAGCTCAGTCCGGCGGCCACTCTGCTGGCTAAGAGCGATAACAAGCTGGAATTTTAGAGGTAAGTGTGCTCTTCCT